CTTCTTGGTTTCAAGTAGTTGCATATGATGCTATAGCCTTGGCTTGGGGGGGGGGGATAGTAATTTTAAGATAATTGTGATAATAAGTATGTTAAGACAGCAGAAGAGGGGGGGGGAAACTGGAGAAAATAACAAAATACAAAGATCTGCAAATAGAAGCCGAATGACTGTGGCAAAAGGAAAGAAAGGTAGCATCAACATTAATAGGTGCCTTGGATGCAATCCTAAAACAACTGGAACACCACTTGAACAGTACTGGAATGGACAAAATCACCATCTGTCAATTGCAAAAGGCAACTTTACTAGGAGTAGCTTCAGGGGTGGGTTTCAACCGGTTCGCGGCGGTCCCTGCGAACCGGTTGGTCGGCAAACCCGGAAGTAAGCAGGACGCATACAGCGCCTGCGCGATCCTCCAGGAGCAGCTGGAGCATTGCACAGACGCTAGTACGCATGCGTGCACCGCGCGCGTGCACGAGGATGCCGCCGGCCCCGTTCTAACCGAACCGGTTGGAACGGGGCGAGAAACCCACCCCTGAGTAGCTTACCTATTCATGCCATGATACCTTTAACACCAGTTGCCTATTTCAGGTCCTTGAGAAGAAGTAGATGGATTTTAAAAAACGTACCCAGTCTAAACATCTGGCTGACTGTTCAACCAACCATTGTAAAATAATATGCTTTGTTTCTTTTTTTCCTGTTGTGGTTTTTTTTTCACTTTTAAAGCGCATTTTATATGTTACTATAGAGAATGTGTTTGTAGTATAATCGTGCCTGTATTTTGTTTCTTCCCTTTTTCTTTTCTGTTATTATTTTTAAAAGCAATATAAAGTAAAAAAAAACATCTAATTGTGATGCTGAATTGTACTAAAAATATGAATTTTGACCTTTATTTAAAAAATGTTGAGCCAGGGTCTCAGGAAAAAAAAAAAAGTTCAGTGTAGCTAGCTGGAAACAAATTTACAAGATCTGAAATTGGATTCATGGAATGTGTTATCAACTGATGAAATTATTTACATTCTAAAAGTGATACAGCAGCTGGAGGGAGTGATAAGGAAGGGAATTGTGATAAATGTAGAAAGAAATTCTCCTACAGATCTCGCACACTGCTCCCTCCAGTCCTCAAGAAAAAAATATTTTCTTTTCAACTATCTTTACTGGAAGATGCCATTACACCACAGAAAGGCAGATTTGAATACTTCTCCAGCATATGTGCACATCTATTAATTATCTGCCTTAATTCCCAAATGAAGCTAATTAGGTTTTTTTTTTAAAATGGGAGTTTAATTTCCAAGACCACATTAATTTAATTTAATTTAGTTTGCCCTCCAGTGCATACATTGCTGGAAAATGAAACAATAAGAAACCAGGATGCCCACTCATCATTTGAAAATTGCAACATATAAATGAAGTAGCACGAATAACCTAACAATCAGAAGGTCATTTACAAAATTGCATTGGGCTTTTGAAAATTATGCACCAAAATTATGAACCCTTTGATTATTATTATTGCTATTACACAGCTGATGAAGTGTAGAAGCCCTGTTCTATTATGGGGGTTAAATACAAAGTCAAGGAACAGAAAAGAAAAACTTTAGCAGAAAGGGGACAGAAACTGTGTTTGAAGAACAGAAATAAAGATTAGCTTGTTTTGGTGATTAATACATTTGTTTTAAGGTAATTGTCACAGTAATAAGAATATAAATGCAAGTTTTCACAGACTTGTTCTCTAGGATATTCAGATCCTTAAAACATACCTTACATTTAATAGCTTTCCTATAGCCAAATCTTTTCTTGAATTGTTCCATTGCTTGCGTGTCACTTAATGGAAGCCTTTTTGGTTTAAGGGTGCTTATCACTTCATTGATCGCTCCCCACCACTGACTTTTAAAAAGCATATAAAAAGCTTCAAGCTCAATGCCAATTACGTAATATCTGTTTTGAAAAAGAAGCCACATTACTTTAATAAGCAAATCTTTTTACACATCATATTGTGTCTATGTATTTAACAATGCTTCTGGAAGGATGCATGACTAGTGATCTTTCAATCATGCATAATCTATATTCATCAGTCCTAAATAAAGCTATTTCTACTTCATCTCTGACAGGCAAATTGGCCTGGGGCGGGGGGGGGGGAGGAATCTAACAGTCTCCAATACTTGGATGGCAGTTTAATTAATTCAACCCAATCAACCTGGCCAAACCCAGTGGCCTGCAGATTTCTTAGATCACAGCTTTGTAGATGTGAGTTTTAATTAAGCCAAGCTATTTGGAAGGCAGCTAATTAGGGAAAACTGATTCATATACAGTGCTTCCAGTGAGGGAGCGGTGACATGAATATACTAGAATACAATTACCCAGTTTCCTTGAAAATAAAACCTCCCCGGATAATAAGCCCAATTGGGCTTTTGAGCACATACGCTAAAATAAGCCCTCCCCTGAAAATAAGGCCTCCCGGAAAATATTGCAACACAGCCACAGCCATGAGGTGACCACGTTTGCCGCCTCCTGCACCTCAAAAATAATAAGATCTCCCTGAAAATAAGACCATTTCGGGGGTCAAAAGAAAATAAGACCCTGTCTTATTTCTGGGGAAACACAGTATATTTTAATTTATCTCACCTTCCCTTCCTTGACAGAATATACGGTTCCCATATATTTTAACTTGATAAATTACAACTCTTGTTACTAATTTCAGAGAGAAGAATTCAAAGTCCATCAGTACATCTTATGGCTTGTGAGAAATTTTAACCTGGACCTCCTAGTCAAACTCCATACCAGCATGGCTTTGCAGAGAGATTCTATGGCAGTGGTCCCCAACCTCCAGGCCACAGGACATTACCAGGCCATGAGCTGTTAAAAACCAGGCCTCCCAAAGTGTTGGGTGAGCACATGGGAGCACATCTTGTGTGAACAGTGGGTGAGCAAAATGGAGTTGCGTGGGCACACATGTTTGCCCGCCACTTGCATGAAACCATTACTTCTCCCCCCCCCCCGCCCTGCACTGGTCCGCAATGCCGGAAAGATTGAGGAACTCTGTTCTATGGGGCTTGGTGTGTGTATATATGTTTGAATGAATGAATGAATGAATGAATGAATGAATGAATGAATGAATGAATGAATGAATGAATGAAGTGGGAAAATCTATTTCCCATTTAACATTTCTGATTGATTGTCACCATTTGTAATAAATTTCTGCATTTTTATTTGCAGGCATCTTCAAAATACAACCATAATGGAGCCTGACCATCGTGGTTATAAGCCGTAAATTGAATAACTCACATGACCAGCATGATTTTATAACCTTGTTTGTGGTGGTTGTTAAGCAAACACCATGGTTATTACATGAACCCTGCAGTAGTTAAGCAAACCAATGGTTTGCTATGGGCTGCCTTTACTGAAAACAAGAAGTAAATACTGGGTTTTGCTAGATCCATTGTAAAATGTAGTCTCATGATGGCAGAATGCTGCAAATCGCTGTAAATGTGGACTGCGAGCTCCCAAAATGTGATCACATGACCTCCAAGGGAAGGGCAGCCATTAGAACTTCAAAACCAGGACCCAGATTGTTGGGGGCAATCTTCTGACTCTGTAAACTGCGTAGAGAGGGCTGCAAAGCACTGTGAAGCGGTATATAAGTCTAAGTGCTATTGCTAGTACTAAAGGACTCAAAATGTTTCAGCTACTTTGAACTTAATCCAGTGAATTTTCTAAATGAATGGAAATATTTCTGCATGCTCTTTACCTTTTGCCATCAAAATCCATTACTGGGATAGGATAATGTTCTCTGTAGGGTGCATCTGGATCCAGCAGTTGAGTAAGATGATGCATTGCACATGTGTGCATTTCATCATAGGCAGCCTATAACAAGAACATGATAAATATATCTGGTGACATTTACAAATTTACAATGTAAATTTGCAGATTTACAATGTAAATTTGCGGATTTACAATGTAAATTTTCAGATTTACAATGTACATTTTCAGATTTACAATGTAAATTTGTAAATTTACCATAGATTTTCTGTTATTGTAAATATTTTACCTCCCATTCCCATACAACCCATTCTCATATTTTCCTCTGTTCTAGAGAGGAACATCCCACATAGTATTATAATTGGCAGGCTGATATATAGAGAAATTATAATGAACAACAGGAGACAGTTAACAAAAAAATTATTGTATGTATGATAATTTTGGTTGATTAAGTTTTCATTACAGAGCTGAAAGCCATTACAGAAATCTGGATCTGAGTGTGTCAATTATCAGAACGTGTTCTGTGCTGCTGATTTTATATTAATACCCAATGAAACTGATTTCCAGAACTCTCAATTTATGAAGCAGAGCCTTCAGATTAAATACTACTTAACCTTACAATTGAACTCAAATTAGCCTCTGCCCAAAATTGAGATAGAAATTCTCTCTTCTTCTCCCTTTCCCCCTCCCTCCCTCTCTCTCCTCTCCCTCTCCCTCTCCCTCTTCTCATCCATCCACTCATCCATCCCTGGGATAGAATAACTAGCATTAGTTTTTATTCTTAAAAAAAAAACAGCTTGGTACCTTAACCTCTTTGGAAACATCTTCAATTGAAGGCGTCCCAACATCAAATTCAATGCCACCATGGAGATGAAAATACTGATCCTGGGCATACAAAAAATGTTGGCATTTGAAATCTGTTCCAAGCAAAAATGGGGGTAATTCACGTTCGGTTTTAACTTTGTCATCTATTAAAAAAAAAAGGAAAAGCAAGAGTTTGATTTAGAATGATGATTGTCATTATTGATCAATCTGTGTTACTGATTTTTTTTTTTTTAAAAAGGAATTACACTTTTCAGATAACTTCTAGAAACCTCAGTTTTCAGTATTTTCATCAAATGAAGAGAACTGCTTCTTTGGCAAATTAGTTATTGCTATAACAACAAAGAAAGAAAATAACACCGAATATATCTAAATATGTACTTGCATTTTTAAAGTACATTGGATTCAAATAAATCCAATAATTTAATTTTCAAGTGAAAGGAGTTCTGGAACATTACCTCAAAAAGTCAATTTGCTTGGAAAATGAATAAAAATCACAGTTATGATCCCAAGTGTATTTTATTAAGTTAGGTAAAAGGCAAAGATTCCCCTCGCACATATGTGCTAGTCATTCCCGACTCCAAGAGGTGGTGCTCACCTCTGTTTC